AGAGAGAGAGAGAGAGAGAGAGAGAGAGAGAGAGAGAGAATGCCCATTGTAGAGCTGCTGGTTATCTTCTGAGATCCCACCAAGTATCTCATGACTGCAAATCCGGAGGGGTCAGTGATTCTTGGTGCTTGGGTTCAGCCATATGTGTGTAACAATTTTTTTTTAACTGGAAGGAGTAGAGGGAGGAGTAGCGGGAGGAGGGGAAACAGTTGTATAGATATAATGTATGAGAGATGACCTTTAAAATGATTGTAAAAGTGTATCAGGACCAACAAGATGTTCAAGGGGGAAGTCAATAGATCTGTTAACTGTAAGAGACAATGACCCCCTAGAGGCAAACAATTTTGCAACCACCTTTCAGTGTAAATTTTTCAGGTTTTCAGATTAAAATGTTCAATAGGGAAGCATTGAAAACTCTTGACAAGTTGGATAATTTTGTCTTTTAGGATTGACATGTACACAGAAGGTATTGTAGATCTGACTGAAATGATCATGCATCTGATACTAACTCCCCCTGACCAAATAGAAGCCAAGACTTCTTTGGCAAAAGACAGGACCAAAAACCGCTACTTGCCTGCCTTTGAAAAGGTAAGTAGGATCTTTGAAGTCCTTTCAGGGACAAGAGAAAGGCAGAGGCTGGAGACAAAGGCTGCTGCAACTCTGCCCTTCACTTCCAGGAGCCTGATGTGCAGCTCCCCGCCCCACAGGGCACTGTGTAAAATGGCCTGGGAAGGAGCCCTGTGTGCTCACACCAGCCTAGCATCCAGTATTGACCAGGGTCCATGGCCACAACCAGCACTGGGCCTGTGGAAGGCTGAGCCACCCCAGAGAGGGACCTAGATCCTACAGAATACAATGGGCTTCCCTTCCAGAGAAAACTGCAGAAAACCACAGAAGGGGAAAACATTCTGTCGAGTTACACAGGAGGCCAGAGAGCAGCTGCCTGTCAGGAGAATATGACAGCACTTCAGAGACAGAGGGGGACTATCTGAACAAGGACAGTGATGGAGGGTGGAGAGGAGAAGGTCGATGAAGAGATGTTAAGAAAGCTGATCTGCAGGATAAGACTGGGGTCTCATCTTAAGACAGAAGCCATGCCCACTCAGCAAATGAAGGTCAAGTCACATGTAGTACCTCTCACAGTCAGGGCTTCTGTTTGGAGGCAAACCGAGAAAACTTCAGAAGTACTCAACTTCTGCCCAGTAGAAGATAACAGCCCAAACTATGATCCTAGAGGATAAGGGCATCTTCCAAGTTCCCAAGAGACCTTGAATTCTACTCTAGAGGAGGGGAGACCTAAGAAAATGGAGTTCTTACATGAAGTGAACTAAAGTCTCCTGAAATAGATCACTTTATTCAGAGCATCAGACAATTTTTAATCTGAGGGTTACGATGAGGCATATGAGCAAATTACACAATCATTAGAGCCAGCCACATGTGCTGGCCAAGTTGCAAATGACAAAATCATGTTATTTCATATAGGCGTATAATAGATAATAATAGCCAGTTGTAATGAATAATCTGAGTCAAACTCACTCCTATCCACTAAGGCTGAGAGGGGCAGGAAAGCATAATCCACGAATAATTCCATGGTTTTGAAGGAGCTGAGGTCACAAGACTCCTGTCTTGGTTTCTTAGAGTTTTTCCCACAAGCAGTCAGAGATCTCCTCACATGACTTCATCCTTGGACCAAGTTCCAACAGAACCTGAATTGAAAACCCATTTCATAAAGAATCACCTTATTTTTCATTCATCACTGAAAGTTCACTCACTGCTGCCTCTGCTCTGTGGAAGCAGGGAGGGCTTTAGGAGCCATCGGCCCCCACACAGTCCCCTGAAGCCTGTGGTGCTGACAGTCATGAGGCTGTCTCATAGGACACACTGTCCAGCCATCATGGCTGAAATCGTCTCTCTGAGATTCATCAACTCCATGTACACAGTGAGCCATGGACTGAAGAACACTTGATGCTTTCTTCTTTTGTAATTTTTTGGTCTTATTTCTCTTTTCTTCCTTTCCTCCTTCCTTCCTTTCTTCCTTCCTTCCTTCCTTTCTTTTTTTCTTTCTTTCTTTCCTTTTTTCTTTTTTGTTTTCTTACATCAGAATCTCTCTATAGACTGGCCTCAAGCTCACAGACATCCACCTGCCTCTGCCTTTTGAGTCCTAGGATTAAATGTGCACACCACCACACCTGGCTTCTGCTTGTTTTCGATTATGGTAGTGATCGCCGTTTTCCTCTGTATATATGTACAGTATGATAAGGGGACCACAGAGGCTTTAGTGGATTTTTGTTTTGTTTTTTGCTTTTTGTTTTTTGTTTTTTGTTTTCTGTTTTCTGTTTTCTGTTTTCTGTTTTTTGTTTTTTGTTTTTGTTTTTGTTTTTTCAAGACAGGGTTTGTCTTTATAGCCCAGTCTGTCCTGGAAGTCACTCTGTAAACCAGGCTGGCCTCGAACTCAGAAATCTGTCTGCCTCTGCCTCCCAAGTGCTGGGATTAAAGGTGTGTGCCACCACCGCCCCGCATTTTAGTGGTTATTTATTTGTAGCTCATGATATAGTATGTTCTTTTCCTTTTGGGTATCTGTGATTCTCATATGTATGTAAATGCCATACGACTGCAACCAAGACAATGTTATTCTTCAAGCTTCACACAACTAGAAATGTTGAGATAAATATTAAATAAATATTTTTAAAAAAACATAGATGCCAGCAGGATTAAGATTAGCACCCTATGGTGTTAACTTTTATCACCCATGTTCATCTGTCCACTCATATCTCCATCGGTCCCACATTCATCAGGTCAAAGTTACTGGCAGAGTCCAACTCCATTCACCGTGTACACTCCAGCATGTCAATCATGACCAGTGAAGGCAGGAGTCAGAGCCAATGCTGTAGTGCAGAGTTCAGAGACATGAGGAAGGCAGACAGAAGAGAAAGGCAGATGCTGGATGCTCTCTGGGGTGAATGGTGCTGGCCTGAATGTGAAGCTCTTGTCCATGAAAGACTAAACAGAGAAGACAGAGAAAGGATGGTCCTGAAACTTCAGTGCTCCATCATTTTCATACAAGGGGGAGAACCTTATTGTGTCAGGGGCTAAGTGCTTATCACATGTGGAAAATATATGTAAGGAAGATGGTATGAGAGGGCTCTAGGAATGTGGCAGTGACTGAGAAAGGTCACCAGGCCTTTAAAGAGGTCACAGAGCTGACTTCTCATGCCCCCTCTTGCATCATAGGCCTAGAGAGTGTCTGTAGTTCTATTCCTGTCAAGCAAAGGCAGAGTGTTGCCTTGAGAGGCTTGGGGAGAGTGAGGGCCCCAGCCCAACACTATGTGTTCATATTCAGTGTCCTATATTTCAGGTGTTGAAGAGCCACGGACAAGACTACCTTGTAGGCAACAGACTGACCAGGGTGGACATCCACCTGCTGGAACTTCTTCTCTATGTCGAAGAGCTTGATGCCAGCCTTCTGACCCCTTTCCCTCTGCTGAAGGTGAGACCACCTCAGAGAGGCAGCCACACACATGCCTATGACATTACAATGGTGGCCGGAGGGCTGAGGTCCCACCCTCTGGTCTGCAAACTGAGCTACCAGACCCTCAGTTTGAGGCTTGAAAATAATCTTTTTATGTGTGGAGATCTGAGTATAGTATCCTAGGAAGAATATTTTGCCTTTTGTAAGGAGAGAGATGCATGAGCCTGAAGCTCTCTCCATGGACCCCTGTTCCTGGCAGGATGCTTCTGGCCCCTGTTTTATCTACAATCTCATGTCTTTGTGTCTTGTCTTTGCTCAAGGACTGAGTGGGCCTCTGTCATGTGATCCCCTTCCCTCAGTTCTGTCTCCTGCTCTCTATAATATGCTTTCTTCTCCAGTCCCCTTCATGCTGACCTCACCCCCACCTACATGACCCCATCTTTGTCTCCCCGTGTGAAAACTGGCCAAGTTGCTT